TTCAAGTACAATTATAAATAATTTCTTAAAACATTATAGCAAAAAAACTATGTGATATCATGAATTTTAAGAACGAAATGATATTAATAATTGACATAGTAATATTAAAACACTTTACAATTTTAAAACAATTGCTTAATGTAAGTTTAATTTAATAAAAAAACGTACATAATGTATTGATATCTAAATAAGTTATAACTAGGAAAACTAATATCAAGAATAATATAATATTTAATACATCTGTCTAAAAATACTAGAAATATCTTAAAATTATTAAATTTGTAATATGTAGAGTTAATTGAATTAATTACATTACAGATGTTTGTATACATAATTTAACATTTTTTAAATATTAAAATCTATCTCGTATATTTTCTTTTATATACTTATTTAGTAAAATTGTCTTGGCTTTTATAGATTTATTTAATAATTACATTAAACTTATGGATTTTACAAATACTAATACATAAAAATATTTATAAATTATTGATGGATTTTTAAAAAAATTTTATAATAAATAAGTGAAACTTTGATTATTGACTAACCATTTATACTAGATAAAATTGCAAGTGAATTTTTTTCGTAAAATCCTTTGGTTTTGATTAAAAAAGCATAATTTATAATAGATTTCGAATAAAGAAATGGTTCTTTCATCTTGTCATATTCTTACCAGTTTTTAAAATTATAATTATTGTAAATACTATATATATATATATATATATATATATATAATATCAACTACTTGAGAATCAATTTTATAGATAAGAAAATTAATGATTTGTATTTTTTAATGACATTATTATCGCGTGATTTTGTATTTACACATGAATAAACAAAATTATTTGACAAACATTATAAATATATAATAAATGGACATAATCAATAAGATGATATTTTTATTAATTTGCTTAAAACAACAAAAATATTTACAAATAATGAATTAATAATTGACAAGCATTAATCTGAATTAATATTAAAGTATTCTAAAATTATTTCAGATTGCATCTCCATACAATGTTCAAATTAATAAATAATAAAATAATACGTATGAGTTTCATTACCTCATTTTAAAGAAAAAAAATCATCTGAATAGTAATACCGTTAAAATCATACCAGATAATAATTATAATTAAGAAAAAAGATGATATATGATATAGAGCCGAAATCCAATTTAGCCCAGCGATTATGAAATAAAAAAATCTAAATAAACAAATGCATACACGCCAATTATTTAATTAAGACAATATCCGGGACTAAAATAGAAGATCCTACTTTCCTGGCCAAATCAAGAGATCTGTATTTTTAATGAGTTTTTCGATATTTACGTAATATTACAAAATAAAGTTAAATATATTCATTTCACTTGTCTAAAAAACTGTTACTCAAAGATTTTTATAATAAAATTATTTTAATAGATTAACTTTAAATAATGAAGAATTTATTGTAATTTTATGCAAAGAGAATAAGAAACATATTGGAAAGTAGTAAATATAAAAATTGTTTGTATACGTCAGTATACTTATAATGGTATCAATTACAAAATGTTCTCAGAATCCTATTTTCTCACATAACAGAAATTTAATTCATTAGAAAATTATTAATAAATAATATGAAAGCTGTTTATGATCTTGAAACTACAAAAATCGTAATAGTAGGAAAAGGTAAAAGCGCTATTTAAAATAAGCAGAACAAAAATTCAACTAACGCAAATCTAAAAATAATACTCAGTAATAAAGAATAGAAACTAAAAAAGAAGAGCGAAAGAGAAGAAGAATGGACTTTACAATGAGAGATTGAAAGAATGACATAAAGAGAGATGCAAAGAGCAATACAAAGTATGACAGAAATAAACCGAGAAAATTTAACATGAAATAACATGTTGGGAATATTAATTGTTTTTTTAATACATAACGATTTCATGTATTTGAACTGAACATTTTAATTGCAATTTGTGTCGCCAATATGAATGTTCATCCACTAGATAACCAAGTGTATCCATTATATATGTATTTTAATTTGAAATCTGCTATTGAAAATTGTCATTCTTTGAAGAAGAAAAAAATCCAGTCAAGTATATAATGAAAAATCATCATTTATATTTTAGTTCGTTTTAGCTGATTTTAATGGCATGATATTTTTATTTATATATTTCCTTATAATCAAAATTATATTTTTCATATTAATATTTAGTTCTAAGTTTATATAATTACAGTTTCAATTAATGATCTTTTAGCGATGACAAATTTGTTAAAAAATATCTGAAATAGAATTTAGCAAAATATATCAATCAAGTGAAATTAAAATATATTGTATAGCCTACTTTAAAATAAAATAATATGTATTTGTATATGTAGATAAATAAATTTTTAATTTTACTCAATGATTGATGTAAACAACATATATAAATATAAAATTGTACGTGTGTAAACACTGTCATTGATTAATCCATTTTCTAATTAAAATTAAAATATACATATTAAATGAATATAAATTCAAAAATTTTTGATTAAGACATCTCGTAACTATAATATTTTAATTAATAAACATTAGAAGGAGCATACAGCATAATTAAAGTATAAAAATTTATCTACAAACTTTGTTCCAGGTAATTTAAAAACTTTATAGTAAAAAATATTGATTCCATTTATGTAAACAAAATTTTTACTATATTTTTACCTAAATAATATAAATCTAAAAATGTATATACAGTTTTAAATAATAAATAAGTACTTTTTCATACAGATATAATACTTTTTTACAAAAGTCATAATATACCATATAAATATAAAAAAATGTATGTATTGATTTGTATTAACGTACCTTCTCTGTTATATAAGTACATATCATTTCGTAGAAAATGAAAAATAAATTTAATAATAGACATCTAAAATATCATTCTATGCCTCTCTTATCGTTTAAATTCAAATTTTTTTCTTGGATGAATATAAAATCTACCACATCTAACTAAGGGAGGAAATCAAATAAAGTAATTCTTATCGAAATATTATATTAAAATGCTTGAGATAGTCCGGTATTATATATTCAAATATACATACATAAAAATAAATAAATAAATAAATAAATGAATAAATAAATAAATAAATATATATATATATATATATATAAATTCAATTTTATTCAACTTGAAAACGTTCAATATGGTATAAAAACTAGTTTATGGAAAATTTTCGTAAGTTTGATTATATAACTTAAGAAACTCAGTGCAAATATATACAATAAGTATTAAACTATATACAATATGTAATAATTGTATTTTTAATAACTGTGATTTGAACAGTTATCAATTTTTAAATGTAATTTCCTTTGCTGTGGACACGCGTACAAGCAGATAAAAATCCTTTCTATTATACAATAAAAAAAAAAATCGCATCTCTATTTTAAAACCAGATTTTTCAAATTCTTTTCAGATTAAAATGTCTTCAACTAAAGAATATTCCATTGCTCTTGGAATTAAACTATCGAAAGTTAGCTAAATTTACATTTATGCAAGTATACGGGAAAATGGAAGAGAGGGAAGAAAAAGAGATAGATCAGGCACAGCAGCGATTATTGACAGAAAAATGACAGCGAATGAAATAAATCAACCGAACCTGGATTTCCGTAGCTACGTGTAAAGCGTAAATTATCATAGCCTGCAACTAGGTTTAAGCATTCAAGCATAAAAAAATCGTTTTAAATCGCATAGCTCCTACTGCCTTCTCTTTATGCAGTTAGATCTTAATTCTTGGCAGATGTACGCAATTTAAAGCAATTATCGGTGCACCTGCAAACTACATATTATATACACAACAAAGTGAAAAATGAAAATATTGCCAAAGCAATCAGTGCTATGTCAACTATACTCTTAGTAATTATTTCATGCGTTAAATGAAATCAAATTATTTTATTGATAGAAAATGTTCGTATTTTATTTAAAATAACATAAAAATACATCGTAATAAATTTTACAATTTAAATATATACATAATTGACTTATTTTACTGTATATTTCATGCGTTAATATATATTTAATTTAAAATAATTTATTTTAAATAAGACTATAATAATAGGCTTTAAAATAAACAAATTTTTCCATACACTTCTGCATTTAAAATTGTTTCATTGATTTAGTAATAAACTTCTCTTTACATTCTGAAATAATATAACTTCATATAATATAAAAAAAATAAATAAATAATTAGATGAATTTTTTAATATATTTTCCTCTAAATCGTTACAGATGTTTATGAAATTAATAAGCAATACAAATTAAAAGCAATAAAATAGATTTTGTTGATTAATGATCAAATAAAAATAGCCATTTTAAAAATGAAGTAGCAAATAACATCTAATTAGTATATTAACACAGAAAGGATTATGACTAATGTTAATTGTAACAAACCATTTGTTTAATTATTCTTTATTATTACAGCTATAACATTCAATCTTTGGACATAACGATCACAGTTTATCGATTATACGAATAAAAATTCTATATTTATTAATGTGACTCTTATTTACACTTGGTGACAATCATATTAGTATCAAATTATAACATAAAACCATTTATAATAATATTTCATAAGATCATTTTAACCAATCAAATTTACAAAAATAGTTAACAAGTAAAAAAAACATTAAAATGTAAATTAATCGTATCGATACATATAAACATTTCAATATATATTACAGTTTAAATAATTATTTGGTAATTAATCTTGAAAATATCTAGTATTATACAAAGAATATTGCAATTTTTAATTCGGTTATATGTGTAAAATACCGTTGTCATAATAGATTTGTTAAAGCGATTTTCAATACACAAAATTTATATTAAATTATTTATCAACATAACCTTAATAATATTTATTAAATAAACAATTTTGTAATTAGTAAAATAGCAAGATAATTCGAATATTTAAAATTTTCAATATGCATATATAAAGATATAGATAATAAATGCTAGAGTCATTAAGTATTTATATTATTTTTAAATTATTCCATTGTAATTAGTAAAAGATCAATTTTAAAAAGGATAATTCAACCATTACCAGAATCAAATGCCTTTTGTGTAGTATGAAATATACAAATACTATAATTTTAAATATATGTTGATTTCTGGTAGGTTTTATTGATCTAGTGCGTCGTCAGTTGTACCAACAGAGCTGATCTTTCTCGTCGTCCAAGCGTGATGCATCGCCCAAATTGAGAGCGGACGCATGTAACCAATGGCCCGGTACACTTTCTGCTCATACAGAGCTTCGGGCGTCTCGAAACCCATTCCAATTTTTTCATAGATGGTTCGGTAAACGCCCTCGGATGTTCGAAATGCTTCTTCAATCATTCCCTGAAAGCAATCGTAATAATCTCTCTTTATAAGCATATTGAAATATATTTTTATAGGCCCAAAGAAATTTGCAACCACCTTATGAATCTTTGATCATGTTTATACAAATATTCGTACTTTAAACTTTATGATTTTCAAGAAAAAGTTTTATTAATTAACTCTCAATTTATTTATCATTACGGTACTTATTTTCTATTTTTAATATATTATTTGTTTTTTAATTTATAAACAAGTTGATAAAATGCTTAGAAAACAACTATCTTTGAAGAAAAACAATTTAAGAATTTTTTTTAAAGAAAAACGATTAAAATGAATTTTTATGAAAAAATTAGATTTTATATATATTTGATTTACTTTATCTAAGTGTAATGTTTTTATTTCTTAACGAATGTCGAAATTTTCATTTTATTAACAAAAATCATTAAAAATTATCAAACTATTAGAAGAATAAAAAATCTATTAAATCTCGTAATCAACCTTTAAATTAGAATCAACTACATATTGAAAAAAAGAAATGATGGGTTGAATGAAAACTAATACCTCGCTTAATTCAGCACTCTTCGGTATATAATTTATAATCACATTTTTCATAAAGATCGGTAAGTTATAAAGTTTGGAAACATAAATCAAAAAACCTTCGATATTTCGAAGTAACAGCTTATACATTATTCCGTGATTTCCACTATTTCATATCATAATTCAACTAGAAAAGTAATCGGCAAAGATTCACGAAAATTAATATTAATATAATACTACTTAAGCTAAATTTCTACAAAATTAATCATCTAAATTTAGAAGAATTTTCCATCAGAGCGACCAATATTTTCTTATAAAAGTATATCTTTAATATAACAAATTTAATATAATATAAAATCAATTACCTCGTGTATTAAAAGGGCAGCTAAGCCATAAGCAACACCAGTCCACATCTCCTCACTTTGTATGCTGGAGTAATCAACTGAACCAGTCGGTAAACATCCGTTGACTGCACCCTGTTGGCCATTCCTGTACTTCATGACATTATTTTGAAATATGGTCTTCAGTGATGATTTCACTCGATCTTCTGGAAAGGCCTGTAAATTAATATTAAATAAGATTAACAAAGAAAAAAAATATTTAAGAAATTTACGTAAGCTATTTTATTACTTTAAACGTTTAATAAACTATTGATTCGTGTCATTCATCTTATCAAATATTAATAATCAAATTAATCATCGCAAATTAAGGTATTTCATTTCTATTCCATTAATTTAACAAAATTATATAAAATATTCCATTTGTTAACACCAATGAAATTACCTTTAGTTCATAATTTTTAATAGGAAACAATAAACACAATTTCAATGCATACGAAAAAGCAATGAAATTATAAATAAAAAATGATTTTATGTAACAAGACATATAATTTTTCAAGATTAGTAATAATTATTATATTTGAATAGAATTAATTGATATTTTTGCATTTTAACGTATAATAAATGATGTTATTAAATGTTAGTAAATGTATCTTATATATAGAAGACTGAATAATAAAATTATAGCAAATTTTCATTATATATCAATTACGTGACATATTATAACTTAACTTCGAATTATTAAGCAACTATATATAATATTTAAATATATAATTTATTTAATTTCACCCTCTACCTTCTGCATTGTAAATTTTTTGTAAGTATCAAAAATATAGTGAAATTTAGATAGTGAAACAAAAATATTTTAAACTTCTTTATATTTTATCAATACAATATAATAATATATATAATAAATAATCGAAATAATAGAAATTTTTAATTCAAGTTCTCTACAAAATCATATGTTTACTTAAAAAAAAAACACTCGTACCTCGTAAGTAAATCCACAAGCTCTCAAAATCCAGTGTCCACAAAGTTGATCACTCATAATACTATTTCTTTTCAGACCTTTACTGCAGTCAAAATTATAATACTTCCCTTAAATTAAAGGACGGAATATAAAATATTAATTAGAATGATTTACTATTTATATCTATGTGAGCATATTAACAGGTTTCTAATTATTTATTATTTATTAAAATTTTATTTCAATCTTTTAATTTTTTTATAAATATCCATTTTATATACTTTTGATTAATTGAAATTTACGATTGATGTATTTTAATATTGTATTCTTGACCAATTATTCTACGACTCTAATTTTCCCTTGATACAATGAAAAATTTAAACTAAATGTTTGAAAAACAAATACTCAGTAAAATATCAAATATAATTAATCTTAATTCTATTTTTTATTTGATAGCTATTAAATATATATATATATATATATATATATATATATATTTATAAATCTGTGGTTTGAAATAGAAATTTCATTATAATTAAAGTAAAATATTCAAAGCTCCGTAAATTATAAATCATACTAAGAAACGAAATATAACTGTTTATTAAATAAAAACAATAATTATAAAATTCAATTCTTTTTACAAAATGTTTAATCATTTTAGTTGGCGAGTTTTATTATCCATGATAGAATTATTGCACAATTATTATACAAAATATTACTCCCTTTATTTGTGACTTTAGTTTACCCAAGAATATGAAAAACATAAAAGAAAATGTAATTTTATAAATGCGTTTCTATCCGCATGTATGATACATATATATTTAGTTTTATATATAATGAAATAAGTTAAAATTAATGTATTATTTGTTAATACATTAAACTAAAATTTTAGAACATTTTAGTAGAAATAAGAAAATTAATATTTCGTCGTTACAATGTAAAATCAAATATACTTTTTTCTGAATATTTTTCAAGAATACAACCCAAAATGATATAATAAATTTATGTAAATATAATAAGGTAATGGCTTACTTACTTACCATTCCAAAGCTTATCTTGGAAAGCTATTTTAGCCCGATCTAATATTTCTTTGTATTTAAAAGAATCTTCTTGTTCGTTCAATAGTTCAGCCATTTTTACGGAAGCTTGAAGAGCGGCAATCCATAGGCTACCACAGTATGCACTAAATAAGAATTGCAAACATTAAAGATAATTACTATTTACTTTTTAAATATATTGATAATTACAATAATTCTATTATTAGTATGAATTAAGTATCTTAAAAATCAATTAAATGCAAATATTTAAGAAGGGTAGAGAAGGTTACGTAAGGGTTTTTAAGTTTTGAACGAAATAAGGAAAACTTGACGAAGAACTTGATAAAGAGCATAAGTCGTTTTTTAAACATTTGTAAATATGTTATAATTAAAGTTAAACTGCAAATATTATATTAAAAATCATGTCAACTTAGATTTTATATCCATAGTGGAATTAAAAACTAAAAATAATATGCTTATCAACATAACATAACATTATGAATAAATTATAATAAGTTGCTAAAGAAATAATCAAACTATTATAATAATTTATAAAACAATTACATAAACGAACAAATGGATATAATAAAATACCGATTTAAATTTCTCTATCCAAATGATGTCCAAATGATTGTGAATGAATCCAATGTTTTATATACAAATGTTTAAATTAAAAGTAAAAAAGAAGTTTAACTTTCAAAACTTATAATGATTATAACAATATTTGTAACATCCGTACAATTAATTATGAAGAAAAATAATATATTATAGTCAATATATTTATAATTTATCCATAGTTGACTATATTTATCAATAATTGTATCGATAAGTATTCGATATTTATTAGTCGATATTGATTGAATGAGAACTCATTTTTTTAATATATACCAATGTTTTTTTTTTTTTTTTTTTGATAAATTTTGATTAAAAATTAAAAAAATTACAGAATATAAAATATGACAGTATGTTTATAATAATATTAAACATAGGTGTGACATAGAATGATGTCATTCACACAAGTTAGAAACATCGATATTTATATTCATACCTGGATCCATTCATTATCCAACAGTCATAAGTTTGATCTGGAAAGCCGCCATTCTCTATAAGACCATCATTATCTTCGTCGAATGTCATAGAGTGTTCCAATAACTGACGAATAATTTATTTAACATAATATAATATAACATCTGATATACTAATATGAATATTAATTAAATGATTTAAATTTAAATATTGTGATTATCATAATAAGCTGTTGGAAATGTAGATGAAATAAACGATGTATCAAAAATAAAATTTATAGCAAAAATCGCATTATAATGTCAAATAGAAATTCAAATAGAGCTTAATACATAGTTAATAATTATATAAATAACTTTTGCAATTACCTTTTTTATAGTTGGCCAAAAATCTTTTAAATGCTTCAGATTATTATTAAAAAAATAAATCCTATAGCAACTTAAAATAAACTTTGAATCAAGATCTCGCCACTGCGAAACATCATGAATTGGATATGCGTTGATCATGTTAAACGGCTCCTCACCTACATATAGTGTAACATAAAAAGGTAAAAAATATACTTTTGTATTAAAATATTATGTTATTATGTAAAATTATAAAAGTTTATAATTAATTAAATAAAAAATTATTATGTAATATATAAAATATATAAAAGTGATATCTTTTCTCATAGAATTTTCAATTAATATTCTTTGGCTTTTAATTTAAATACCTCAATGCTTGATTAAATTGTTTCGTTTCAACCCAGTACAATAATAAATAATTAACATTATAAATATATAATGTTTCTAAATTACATTCTACATTATATTATATTGAAGTAAATTCTACTCCACTTTCAAAAAATACTTATAACCTTCGAAAAACATTTACGCACAAAAGAATATTTTGATCTGCTAATGGCATAAAAACATTGAAATAATATATTTATAAAATATATATATTATAATAGAAAATCGCCCGCGCACTATTATAAAAAAAATGAATATCTATTTTGATCCGAAGAAATTAGAAACTAAGCCATAAAATAAATTTCGACCTATATCTAATGATTCAAAGATTAATCATTCTAAATTAAAGTTTAAGTGCTTCGGTTTTCAGAACACGACAAATGTTCATCCCTTCATTCGTAACTTGACCAGTGGCTGTCAAGTTACCCTCTTCAAATTTCTCTTACCTTACAGTCTCAGCCTTGTGTGCCTTATCGCTAGCTACTAGTTTGGGACAAATCTGTATCACAGAGTTTCTTAGACATCAATTTCCCGAGTTACCAGTCATTCTCAATTTGCACTTATCAATTACTTTCTCACCTTTGCTTTGTGCTGTCTAAACTAAAATATTCAACACTTCTTCATAATTTATGGCGATCTTTCTTTAATTTTTTTTTTTTTTTTGGTTTTTTTTTTAATTGTCATTTGATATAATAATATTGTTATATAAAATTATATAAAATATAACTAATAATTCAAAAAGCAATAAATTTTTCCGATAAATTAATATATAAAATTATTAGTTAAATGTTGAATTGTTTAAATTATTACGTTTATTTTTCAAGACACATTTGATATGACTAATAAAGTCATCATGTTATCTATAAATCTTTCAAGCTCAAGTCAATTATAATTCTAAAAAATACGAGTTATATTTTTTTAAAATACGGTATCGCATAATTACATCACTTAATTATCTAATCAAATTGAAACTTTTGAAGAAACTAAAGCATAAAATGAGCCTGTAAAGATTAAGTTTAAACATTAATTAATTATTTATAAAAATTGTGCAGATTATAAATGAACACTCGTCACAGAAATGTACTTAAAAATAATCGAAAACAATAAATTTATTATAAACAAAAATAGTTTGGAAATTATAAATCATTTAAATACTTTCTCAATGATATAGCCGAAGATACGTAACATTTTTTAAAAGAACGATGTCTTAATATATTTTCTGACGAGTTTTAGAACATGAAAATGTTCATATGTATCTCATAAGTTTTCACTTTTTTTTAATTACTTAATAATTTTCTAATTTCGATTTATGTAATCTGTGAATAATATCAGATAATGATTGGGAAAAACCTTAGCATAGTAAAAAAAGTTTTAAGAAATTTACAAAATAGGTAACATTCAATATAAAATAATGTAACTATAATAGGGTAATTATGTAACTGCCATAAGATTCTTTTTAAAATTATCAACTGCGATGATTATTATGTAAAAATTATTTCATTTTCATACAACAAGCATTTTTGATCTCTTGAATTAAAAAACTCTATTAAGCTATATATATGAAATTATTGACACTATATTTGTATTAAGAGCATTAGAAAAATTTTTACAAAAAATTCATTTTCTTAAACATTATTTTATATTTTGTGAATCTATTAAATCGTTTTAAATACAAGGTTATCGATTAATTTATTACTTTAAAATTACGCGTTATCACCGCATAACGCCTTTCTAAATACATCTCACCCAATTCCGATCAATTAATTAAAATATCAATATTTACATATTGATATTTAACTGGATGTAATTTAATTATATTATATGTCCATAACAATTGAAAATGAGTATATTATAAAAGGTTAAAAAAAATTGTAAAAAGGTAATTTTGTGCCATTCAAACTATATCTGATCTCGTAACTGACCTTATTAATTTATTTAAAGGTAACTATTTTTAAATTTAATATCTTTAAGAAGTTATATAGAGCTAAACACAAACTTTTTTACTTTAATCAAAATTGAGTCTTATACTAACATTTTCTGAAAAGCTTTTTAATCAAACAAACAACTTTAAATTGATGGAAAATAAAAGTGCTTTATTAACAATTTAATAACTTTCTTCAATGATATTGATAAATAATAAAAAAAAAAATTATTGTAAGAGCTCAGATCTTTCGTAAATTTTATGAAAAAAGTACTGCTCTATATTAATTAAAAGTTTAGGAAAAGTTCTTTTTCTAGATAGCATTACAACTATATCTATTGATAATAAGAGCTGAAATTTAATCTGATCCGTTTAAAAAAACTAATCATATTTCCGATAAAGTTTGAAATAAATTAATGAAGTTTGTTTGCTTCTGCGAAATGTATAAAGCATTGATACCCGAGTGGATGGAGAGCATTGAGCATACAATAGCAAATCGCACTTCTCCCGCTGGCGCATGCTAATCGAAAATTGACTTTGCGGATTCGAATTACTTCACTGTTCATTATTTCAACAGGGAATCGACAGAGTCATATTTTTCAATTTTAAAAGTTTTCCGCGGTCAGAAAGAATATGATAATTAATTATACATACTTAATAACGCGACTAAAAATATTTCAATTAATAATTCTTCATTATTTATATGATAAATTCATAAAACAATTATGATTCTATAAATTTATATATAATTATTACATTATAAATTTTGAATATAGCATTGTTAATATTAATAACTGTAATTATAATAAAGATTTGCTTTTATAACTTTATCGATTAATCGGTTTAGCTTGTATTAACTTGTTATTATCAAACTATTTTATTAGACAAAAATTAATTGTTATGAAAGTGCAAACTCTTCATAAGCTTGATTTCGAGCAGATAAGAATATTAATAAAATCAGACTTCAAACTTTTAATATAATGAAAAGAGTTTCGACTTAAAATATTTGATTTCGCAAACTAAGTTAATCAAATATTTATGGTATTACCTAGAATATTCAGGAATGACATGGAGATAATTTTTCAATTTCAACTCGGCTACATAGCTTATTACGCATTAGCATATTATACTTATTATTTATTATATGTTTTTATCATTATAAAGCTGATTATAATCTTAATGATATTTAACTTTTTAATATTCATTGCATTCAATGATTGAATGTACCTGATTTTAGAATACTGAAATTTTATTAAGAATTATACTAATTTTATTAAGAAAATAAATGAAAGATTATCTACTATTTTATTCGTCATTGAGAAATTAATAATTTAATTTATGGAAATAAATCACAAGCGAAACGTTTTTCACATGGAATTATGCCTCAAATATATTTGAATCTAATAATTTCTAAAAGAGTATTTGGACTTTCGAAATTTCTTGAATATACCTGATCGAAAGTTTTTTTTTTTTTTTTAGATTACTCACAATACTACAATTAAGATAAAGTGCGATATTAAAATCGATTCAATGTTATATACAATTTCGACAATTAAAAGATCTATGAAATTAAAAACATTGGTCGTGTACGTCGCCGATCTCTGCACTAACATAAGCAAATAAGAATGAATTGACCTCGTAAAAGCTAAACTCGCGTGTTATTACGCAGATTAGCTTCATCTATCTTACTAACGTCGTCTAGAAAATATGAAAAATTATAAGCAAATGTATATAGCTCACCAGGGTCGCCAATATCATGTGGTACGCTCTCCTTAAATTTCCGTTGGATCCTCGCACCATCGTAAAGTGTTTGAAGTCGCTGCTGGTTCTCCGCGTGCACACTATCACGAAACTCGTACTGTATGCAGGCCTCCAGGTTAGGCCACAGCTGTGCGAGAGCAAATGCTGCATAAAAGTGCACGTCATACGTGTTATACATCCGATACTCGTGCCCTTCGAGATACGCGAAACGTCCATATTCTATCCTGCACGAAATAATGGAGATTTTTATGGTGTAGTAATTGGGAATTTTTTGCGAATCACATTGTCACGGATATTGCTGCGCTTCATTTAGTAACTACATGAGTATCATTTCTTATCTATAAATATAATCTGCCATTGAGATTAAATTATCATATCATAACAATGGTTAAGAAAAAGTTAATTTAATTGAAACATTCTTAAATGTAGCGATAAAATAGACAATTTATGGTATATGAATTTCAATGAAATACGCGTAAAGCATTTATCGCATCTCGTTAATTCAATTTTATTAAAATATTTACTTTTATTAATTATGGCCTTAATGATTGATTGATATTTGATTAAAATGATCTGAAAAAGATTGAATGTTAAAAAGAAACAAAAAAAAAAAAAAAAACAAAAAAAAAACAAATAAAATTAGCTGAACAAATAATCTGGGTCAATTTAACGTTAAAACAAACTAGTATTTTAGCAGACGAATGAAGACATTTACATTGATTAAAAGACTATTCGCGAATTAGACGTTCTTTAATCCGAGTAGCAAAACTACGTATTTTGCACCGAGGTGACAAAACAGCAGAAAATCTAATTAAAGCCGAATCGTAGCAGATGAGGTGAACTATTTTCATTGCATTTACCGTGGATCATCGGGTTGGAGTTTGTCCGTCTCGTTGATCCTAAGCCAAATGCTACCGCCGTCGGCAACAAAATACAACTCGTTAAACAGGGCGCTTTTGTACCAATCCGGCAAATCGGCATCCTCCAAAACTGGCTTCTGCCAGCGTTGAATTTCCTGTTCCCAATTCTCGTAATGAGACAGCGCATAACGAGCGATTTCCGGAGCGACCGAGACCTTCGATCCATCGCTGGGACTGAAGTATTTCGTGTAATACCTGTAATGAACTGACTTTATTTTTCATCCTCTTGTATGTTTATCGTATGATTAGAACCTTGAAGTATTTATGCATATTCACTAATAATATCGATTAAAAGTTAAATATCACACAAACTTAATAGTTTGACATCGCGATCAACGCACATAAATTACTGCCATAAAAGATGAGATAACAAAACCAGAATCCTTACGTTGATTTTTCAATTATTTTATTTGTGTACAGTTAAAATTACTTGAAATAATATATTATTTACTGAATAATATCATATTTCTTAACAAATTTACAACATCGGGCAAACAAATGTTCTTAAGCTGTAAATAATTCAACAATTAAAAATGTGTATTATTTTAAAATTGTAAAAAATGTTCTTATAAAATTAATGAGTAAATGAATGAAATAAAACATTATCGATATTAGTATATTCGTAATGATAATGATATGGTGTTAAATATAATAAATACTAGGAATAAAATAAATTGTCGGATTATTAACAATTCGATACTTTAAATTATTTTAATTCAATTATTTACTTAATAAACAGAATCACGACGTGCGTTATTAAAACCAACTATCGTATATAGCAATAAATATTTTTAAATAATCTGAAAAGTTTAATTGAAATACTCTTGTAATTTAAAGATAAATATAAAATACCTCGAATAATTCGTGTTTTTATTATGAAAATGAATTTTTGGCATATCCCAGACAACAGAAAACTCCAACGTTCCACTGGAACCAGACTTTACTAAAGTATTGGCGCACACTGCTGTTGCAATAGATTTCTCTAGAAATACAAATTTTGATTCTTAAACATAAATATGTATTCAATTTTTATGTAATAAATAAAAATACCAAAATATTTATAAAATGAGTAGTAAGTAACGAAAAATTTCTCGCCAATTAATTATTGATGAGATTAATTATTTAATAAATTTTTATAAAAAATACTTATTGGCTTCTATCATATATTACTGAATTATTTATTATTAGAATACCAAGCATTAGATTTAATTATAAATATCGATAAGAAGGATTATATATTTCTTTAATTTAAAAATCAAAAATTATTAATATTCATTAAAATTAATTGCTTTCTCTAGACTTTCCATCAGTTAAGATAATAGATTTTTTTTTAATTTCTATTCTAACGTACTATAAAAATGCTAATGAAAAACATCACATGTTTTAAACCAATTATCGTTAACTAAAATATACATTTTCATATATATTATATGTAGAAAAATAATTTAGATCTCCAAATTATGAAAAATATATTTTTCAATGTAAAATGCTTTTTTTTTATGTATAGCAATGATTAATAAAATCGATTAAATAAAAAAAAAAATTTAAATCTAACTAATAAATAAATTATATTATTATATGTCTGGTTGTAATAACTGATTATCAAATAATCAAAAAATTTATTTAAAAATCTATGTCTTTTGTATTAATTTAACAAATTTATCCGGATATTTATTACACGAATGTTTTTGCACGTGTGTGAAAAGTTTTTTTATATATTCCAATATATTAAATTCTTTCAACTAACAATTGTATTATATATATATATGTATATATATTTAATCTAACAAGATCTGAATGTTGATAATTCTTTGTTGAAATTGTATTAAATCAATTGGTACGCTCACAATTCCTATTCTTGCAATCTTTGCAATTAAACAATTATTTAAATATTTCGCTAAATAATGGATAAATATTTATATTTGTTTACAAACATATGCTATGGGCGTACCGTTGATATTGTACACTTAGATGAGTCTCTTAGAATCGATTTATAAACTAACTGCCATTAATCAGTAACAATGACATATAAATAATTATAAATACACACATTTCATTAAGCTTGTGTTTATTAGTTATTCATATGAAATTATAAACGTTGAAGTTTGTTTAATTAATAAATTGTTTCCCCTCTATTTGAATGATCGTTAATAGATAACAAATATAGATTTTTCGTACTATCTACTATAAATACACTTTTCGCAGGGTTATACGTGTTTGATAAAATAGATGAGCTTTAGATTAAAGACTCTTTGAAAGGACAATTTAAAAAAAATTCAATGATATGAAATAGTATCCAGATCACTAAGCTGTATCAAAATCTGAAATGACAATAGTCATGATGGATTGGATGAAAAAATCTAAAGAAGTGAATCAAATATGATAGGTAAAGTGATGTAGTTTTAAGAATAATTTCTCATTCTTCAACTAAACGCAACTAAAGCTATAAAAAGCTCTTCAATACGTCTATTAATACTTAAATAAAACTGCCAAATAATCAAGTGAAACTACATATACTGAATGACATAAGACTACTTTAATCTCTTATTTATTACCCTCTATAATATTATCCAAACAATAAAACGTTCTGCGAAGCATTTATCTGCCAGATATTTGCTCGTAAGTAACAACAGCTAGCTTACGAAGGAGATCTGCTCGTACACTTACTCGACTTGCTCGAGGCTCTAGGCTCTTTATGTTCGTAAAGCTTGCCGTCGTTCTGGAGCTTCTGCCAAAGTATAGCGCCATCGCCACGAGGATCGAAGTTCAGCATTCGAGTCACGCTTACGACGTCGATGTTACCTTCGTTCTTGTCGTTGTCTCGCCGCGATCTCGAGCTTATCGCGTATGTACAGGGCATACTACGGAATTCTTGGTGAATCATAGCGCCACTGACATCATCCAAGTCGAACAGTTCCGTCCATTTGTCACCTAAAATCTTTAATATTGTATCGACATAGCCTCCACCTCCACTTCCTATTATGCATCGAATGCTCGTTTCAATATATTCATGAAAAACAGAGTTGGAGGACCTCATAATCTCCACTGTCAAATCAATATAAATTTACGAACGAATTTAAATTACCATTACTAAATTACATTGAACATTGATTTTAATTGGAAATATTACGATTTAATTTAAACATAAAATTTTTAAATTACTGAATTGTAATGTATACTTTTAGCTTTGAGTCTTTATTGAAATAATGAAACTTACTTTGTAAAAAAGAAAGTAACTACATTTTATTTATTCCCGAATTTATGCGAGATTGTTTAAACAAAATAATGTGTTAATTCTTAAATATGAATAAGTCGTTGTCTATTATTTCATTTATTTAGACGTATTTGAAACTTGATCGATCATGCTAAACTCAATGTAGATAAATAATTTTTTTCTTATAAATATTTACAGAAAAATGTGTCAGAATCCAATTATATTTGTTGAATTACAATCATTATGTTAATCGTTATGGTAAACACAATGACTGACATGAACTGAAATAAAATATAATTACGTCATTTATTGATGTTACTTAAAATTTTTAAATAATAAACAAATTTACTATTGAATGATAAATACATTTTATTATTAAAATAAAAATATTAAAAATTACAAACATAAAATAGTTTAGATATTTTAACTTTTTTTAAAAAATTATATTATTAATAAAACTAAATAAAAATTCAAGCGAATGGTCTCTTCACTTATTAAATAATTATTATTAACTAACATGAATTAATACTATATATATATATATATATATATAGTATATATATATATATATATATATATATATATACAATAAATCACAAAGAATTCTATGAAAACTTCTTACTTTATTATACATTATATATAATACGCATATTCGTAGTATTAAATAAAAATATATAAATATGAATCTTTTATCTAAATATATAAGCAGAATTTACTGCGTCAGTATTAAAAATATCCAGAATAATTGGATCTTATAGTTACATTATATACTGAATATTAAATTCATTTATGAACAATGTAAATCATTTTTATGAATATATCATATCCTTTGTTTCATAAAGTACATATCGTTTTAAAAAGGATTTTCCAAATTAAAAAATTAAAAATGAACTAACTCTACGTAACTTGATCACATAATAAAAATTACATAAAAGATAAAATAAAATCTTAACAATGAGTTTTTTCCTTCACGGTTAAATTTTTTGCTAGACATTTAATTAACTATTTTTACTAAACAAGCAAATAATATTATTATCAATAAACGAACGATTTTATTAACATATTTATTAAAAATTAAAATATCCATATAAGAAATCTTAGAACCTCTTTATAGACGTACCTTGACTATTCTCTTTATTACCGTAGCCACTCTGGAACGAAAAAGTGATAGATATTTGTAAATCTTTTTTCGAGCTATTAACGATATCCCAAGCAAATACAGCACAAGGTAATGAACTGTCCTTATAATTGTGAGGTAACACCGGTGAAACTTGACGGCATGTTAACCTCAATCCACACTCTTCCACTTCGTAAGTCGTCCAAGACCGTGGATACAACCCCGTATAAGAGGCTTTTTTTCCGTCGAAACCCCACTTCCATGATTTCAAGACTTTCGGCTTTCTATATTACATTATATAAACGATGGATATTTAAATAATATAACGTTAAACGATGTATTGAACTTGAAAACGTTTGAAAAGAAGTAGAGAAAATAAATATCCATCCACTTCATCTTCGAGGGTGTGATTTCATTGTTAGTTTTATATGTATTGTTAAGTAATTGGTGATAATTTAATTAAATTTTCTTTCAATGTTCATTCTATAATCATATACAAATATTTATTCCATTCCATTCCACTTGATGATTTATTAAAAATATTGTATGAATACAACATTACATAGAGATGAAGCTTATAAAGAAAACTTAGATTAAATTGCCATCGATGTGCCACCAATGCTTCAAACATTTACGTTATGAAGTAAGTCAAGAATTAATGTTATCAATAGACTATACTTAAACACTTATTTACTAATCACATAATTCTTACTTAATATCAAAGATAAAAAATATCAAAGATAAAATAAATTATATTTTAATTGTATTAAAATTTTTCAATATAGAAATGACTTATTATTGATATAAATAAATTTTACTTAATAATAAAAATATGTTGAATACATGATTCGTAACAGAAAAAAGTAACATTGACTTTTTATTTTTCGCTACATAAAAGAAAAAAAAGCTTCAACATCCTAATCTCTCTAATCCATAGTAAAATATATATCCAAGAGAATAAGTATTAGAGTGAAAAAAAGGGAAAAAAATCATATACAGCGCAATGCAATTAACATGCGAAAACTTACGTTTTCGTCGACAGGACCTGATTGTATATGGCGTTTTCATTACCATCTCTCACAGTCAAGATAAATTGATTAGCAGGAATAACGTGATAGTTGTACAAGCCGGGTAACAATGCATACCGACAGAATTCACCTCTAAAGCCCCGACCGATAGTACCGCCTCCAAGGCCGCCTATAGGTACGCCTGCATATTGTTATACTTAGATTACATTGAATTACTATATTTATTTTTAACTTTTACATAGTATTACATATCCTGGTAATAATTTCATGCGATAATTAATTTTTAAAATAGGTATTATACATTTTTTTTTTTAATATTAATATTCCTTATATTATTAACTTCAGCGAGTTATATTAAATCTCCAAAGTTCAATATTAATTCAAAATATTACGAGTATTTCTGCTGCAGTATATTTAACTGAGATTGCAGTTTAAACTTCTTATTCCAATGTCAACATGAATTTGATTATGAAAAAATCAAAGAAGAAGAATGATTAATAAAAATTATATTTGTTTAAAAGCTGTATTAAAATTATTAATGGAAAAGACGAGAATTCTAGTATTGAAATTTTCACTCATAGCAGTAAACTTTTTTAAAAATATCTTTTATTCAACATTTATTTGTACTATTCACATATACGAAGTCGTATAAAAACTTAAATGTTCTATTTTTTTCTCTTGATCAATATCAATATGAAAGATCAGTATCGTGAAAGTTGTATTTAAAAATAAATTAATTAATTACTTATACTAAATATCCTTATACGTAGTATTTTATTATTTATATTCTGTATTTATTCTGTTCTGTATTTATTTTGGTAACAATCAAAATATTCGTTAAACTCCATCCTCTAAAAATTTGTATAATAAACATATAATAAAGCAAAATTATCGTCGAATATCGTATTTTTTAAGTGAACACTATATGTATTATAGAGAAATATATGTAAGATATTCTGATAGTTTAATAGATATTTAAAATTCATAAAAACTTCACAATACAAAGCTATGAATTTTAAATTATTATTTAACTATTTAGCACCGAATCAAACGGAATATTTGAAATATCGCCAGTTACCATCGGTAGGCTCCGGCGCCCACAATCGTTAAACATCGAGTTTACAACTTCAATTTTACTACGTGAATAGAAAAAAATATGTCTACAAAAAAGTAAAGTAAAATGTCCGTTATATATGTATGTATGTATATATATATATATATATATATATATATATATATATAGAGAGAGAGAGAGAGAGAGAGAGAGAGAGAGAGAGAGAATAAAAAACGAACTAGTTTTCTCAAATCCCATATCGCAAAATCTGTATTATACGATAGTGAATGCACATGTGGTGTGACTACAGCATACATTGAGGAAATCGTTAAGTCAGGCATACATTTAGCATGAATTTTTCTTTTATTTTGTCGACAAAATATACTAGTATAATTTATAAGAATCAATTTATTGAAATTTGTACTATATGCCGTTATAGTAAAATGAATAATAATTAATATTTTACGAAACAAGATTACTATTTTTCTAAGAAACAAAATCTTCAAAAGTTTATATATTTTCTTTATAATTAATATCGTAGATAATAATAAGTAAAAACATGACATAAGTGTGGATAATTAAGTTTTCACAAATTTAAATCATGGCTATTTGAATTAAAAACAATTTATTAGATTTATGTATTATTGATATAATTATTGAAGTTATGTATTATTAAGTTGTAAATTATAAAATATCTTCTTAATAAGAGCTTGTTTATTTTTCATAATAAATAAGTTAAATACAACAATTAATATATATATAAGTTTAAAGTTCATATTTACCGTAGATCTGTTGACCATTCTGCATATTCCGATAATCCATTACAACTGGACGACCAGTTCGACTTATACTAGCATAGTAAAATGCATACCTACGTACAAACAAAAAAATTGTAACAAAATTATGTATGCATTAAATTAATCTTCAAATCTATAATATTATTTCATCCAATACTTAAAAATTATTAAATACATAATATTAAAAAATGAAATATCTGATAAAATTCATTGTTAATAAGCAGTTATTATATATGTTTCTGGAATAGCGGAATTTATCATTTTTGTGATTTACTTCTCCAAAAGCATATAGAGGAAATTAAAAACCATTTTACACCCAATAGTATATATATATATATATATATATATATTTACAAAGTTTCCATGTCTAATTTTCATTTTATTATATAATTGTTTTATAATATTAAAAAACAAGGAAACATATATATATATATATATATATATATATATTAAATAGAATTTTAATTTACTAACAATCGATTGACAATTTCCAAAAATTATCTTATATTTTTGTACTAGAGTAAAAAATATTAATTATCAAAATCTTCATTATTAATAAATTAAAATTTATAACATTTGTATTAATCGATTAAAGAAGAATTAATATATAAAAGGATGTAATAACCAAGTTGTAGTGAAATTATACTCAATATATTTTTTATATATGAAAACTATTTCTAATCATTTATTCTATTTTTAAAAAATTTAACCTTAATTAATTTTGTATAATGATTCATTAAGAAAAATAAATAAAAAATTATAAATTTAATAATTATTATAATTTTAACAATATGCATACGATTATCCTCGGTTAACTGAAAAATATATAGTACACACTATAATAAATATTAAAATATATATATATATATATATATATAATAAATTAAAAAGAAATTAAACGATACAAAGTAAATACTAACTTAGATAACAATATAAATATTGTTATAACTTAACAAATAAGATTCTGAAAATTTAAAAGAGATATAATTTAATATCTCTATAAATATTAATAGTTACTGAATATATTATTTAAATTATAAGCTAAATATTAAATCTATACATTTATTAAACTCATACGCCTACTTATAATCATACTTATGATACTTATGACTTATAGTTTTATATATAATACTTATTTACTGTAAGAATTGTTAAAAGAATTTCATTCGGAATTATTCATATTCATCGACACCTGCCCATTCCTTATTTTTAAATTTATTTAATTATATATTTTCCTAATCAAAAAAATAAAAAAAAATTCAAATAAAATCGTGTGTAATAGAGTAAATTCCTAAGAAATTAATTAAAAAATTATAAATTACGTACTGTTAAACAATGTTTGCATTGATATATAACCAATAAAATAATTAATATAAACTGTAGAAACAAATTTGATTGCGACAAGTATTGTAAGATATAAATATTTATAAATTGAAAAATACAGTTACAAATTGCGAAAGCTTCTTGAAAAAGAAACTTTTTCTTTGGGTCATCAGTAATATGAAAAGAAAGACGACGCCATAAGGATGCAAATTCTAAAACTATATTTTATAAAATACTAAAATATAAGTTTTTTTTTATCTGCAAAAATCTTAGATTTTCCGAACAACTCGTATGTAATATAAATTCTGAGCCTCACAATTTATATGCAAATCAATCAATCAAATATATTATTAACTCTAAATTAAATTAATTTTAATGCATTATAAAACATATTTCCTAACAACTTCCTTAAATATATAAATATTTTCTCAGCTTTAATACCTTATAAACAGCTTCTTTTTATTATTTACTTTCAACAATTTATAATATTTAAATAGTGGTGAAATTAATAGAATATCTCATTCAAGTTTTATGTTGAAATAAATGTAATTAATTAATACAATTTTTTATTTATATTATATATTCGATATGTAAAATAAATCGTATATCATCAAACTAATTATTCTCTTAATTTTGGGATATTTAGAATAATTAAACTTCATTAGAAAATTTATTTTAAAAAATTACTATAATTTACTACTAAAATTTACTAAATTTTACTTAACAGCATAAATAAATCTCATAAATATTCTATAAAATTATCATTATTTTTAACTAAATTTTACTAGATTATTATTATACTAAATTAATAGCGCTTTCATTAGATTTAAGGTTAATATTTGTCTAGTTTGCAACAATAAAATGCTTTGTTAAAAATATATTATTCATAAGAAAAATATTAAAAAATATGGGTCATGGCATCAATCTTAAAAATGTTTAGATTATGACAATTCAAATGATGTTTTGTAATTTCTTTAAATGAACGATAAATTAACGGTTTTTAATCGTTAATATACGTACCTCCAAGCCAGTGGCAACATTTGAATAGTTTGCTTGAATTTGGGTCTTAATCGTTGAGACCATTTCTCTGGAAATTCGTGATCAAGTCTAACTTTAAAACCATACTTTGGTATGTTCTTCGCGGTTGTTTCCATTTAAAAAACTGTATTTAAGCTTTTAAACAATTTAGCAATTCAATTTAGTTCAATATAATATCACATATGATACTACTGTATAAGAAAAGCAGTAAAAATAAAATTCTAATATAAATATTGAAATTTTAATCTCATCAAAAATGTTTATACTATCAAAACAGGAAAAACACTGTCGTTATATACTCAAAAACATCGCTTTATATATTCTGCAATTTTGACAAGAAAACTACACCTATATAAAAACATAGGATAATTATAAATGACATTGATTAAAAATATTAAATATCTTACATTGAACTTTAAAATATTACCACATTTACACATGCATTTAAAAAAAAGTAAAAAAGAAGACATACAGCCTATCAAGCATACACCGAATGACTAAGACGTAACCTAAAAATCCAAAAATAGAAGTTAGTGTATGTCTCTTTCTCATAGAATTATCCAGTTGTGTAAGAGAAAGACAGGAAAAAGAAACACGTACTTCTATTAGCAAGAATACAATTTCATCGAACTAAATTATACGTACATATGTGCGTATATATGTATATATATATATATATATATATATATATATGCATGCGTGCATTCAACTATGAATGTAGCTATGCGCAAAAAAAAATGTATGTATATGCAATATACTAATGCATATGCGTAGGCATGTAAACGTGTATTTTAGGTTATGTTTACTATTGAAAACATCGGTTGCTTATCCAAAAAGTTCAAAGATTTGTAAATTGTAAAAATAAAATATAAGTAGGAATTGAATATTTATTTGAATAATTGTAAGAATAAAAAATGTAATATTTATCCATTGATTTTTTAAATTACCAACCATGAAGAGATATTATAAATTTTACAGGAATATTTTTGAGACAACCAACATGTCAAACGTTCTCGTATGTTGTGTAATGACAAGTAAATAGTAAAACATAAACATGGATTCTTCGGAAAATGAGGTATATTAATGAAATATATCTCCAAAGTAAAAATATTAATTTATATTTTAACTTAAATTAATTATTTTAAAGAAGTTTATAATTCAATTTTTTTTAATATACTCATTAACATGTTGTATAACAAATTTCTAAATGTTATCTTTAAATAAATTTTAAATATATATATTTTTTACCTTTTTTTTCATCAAATTAAAATTTTTTACTACAAATCTTTATCAATTATTGTTATTTATTTCTAATTAATATTCATTATATAATTATTCCTTTATATTTTTATATATTTAATTTTATCTAGACGTATAAAATAATTATAAATTTGAATTTTGTATAAAATAATAGTATATATATATATATATATATATATATACTATTATATATATATATATATACATAGAACACAAATGATCTAATATTATTTACATTATTTTAATTAAAATATTAAAAAATTTTAGAAACCAGTAGTACTTGAAGCAGATACTGTTTACTTGTTGATGAAAAAAGGCTTTCCTATATCTCGCTATGTCAGAGCACAATGGGTACTTCAACACTTGGATACTGTTATCAGTATACAAAACCCTAATACAGACTTTGAAGAACCACCAGAGTTAGAAATTGTTTCTGTACTTCCCAAAGAAAATATTTATTCATGGTGTCCTGAAAATAGTCATCAATATGTTTATAAAGTATCCTCATCAACTATAATTAAATTTCTTGCTCATAAATACAGAATGGTTTTCAGCTTAGATCTCAGTCCATCTCTTGCTACAGTTGTAAATATTATTGCATAATCAATTATAAGTTTACATTAATATTCTATAATTGAGTATTTGAAAAACATATTCATTTAAAATATTATAGCATTATTAAACCTTTTATTTTATACATTTAGGACATTCAACATGGTGAAATTGTTATTGATGAAGTTTGTTTAGCAACAAAGCGATGCCTTGAGGGTATAACAAGACCAGTAAGTCTAAATAATAAAATACATATTGTCTACGTAGTTAAATATTAACTAATAAAAATTTATTTTAGTTTGTTATTCCTGGAAGTAAAAGAATAATTCGTCCAGAAATCTATGTAACTGTGATTGTTCATACACCTTTTTTTACTAATCCGGCCCAACAAGTATTAGTTCAAGGCTGGCTAGTCACTATGGAAAATATTGCTAATTTAATGCAAGTAATAGAAATGCAATTAAATTTATTAGAGGAAAAAGTTGCTCAAGTTACAAGTTTAGTTAATTTACAATTAGAAAATTTAAGAGCAGAAAGTGAAAGACTGGTAGGAGGCTTATTCGAAGAAGGTGGTATAAGTATTGGTAAAAATAATACTGGTAATAATATGTCTACCATTGCCATGGTTTCACCAGAAACTGGTTTTATAAATATGCTACGATATGGAATGTTAGCACTATCTCTGCTACCCGAATACAGTTGTGCTCGTAAGTTATTAACTATATTTTAATATATATATAATTCTAAAAATTTATTCAAGAACTTGTGTTGAAAGTTAAATTACAAAGTTGCTAGTATATTATTAAAATTGTTTAATTTATTGTATTTTTATATAATTTTAAAAATTAATCTAAAAATAACAATTATAATGAGTTTTTGTATTATATATAACATTTCTATTTATGAATTATTATCTTTCTTATCAGATTTAGTCATAGTATCAGATGGAATTGTTGGAGTAAATGATCTTCATGCATTAGATTCTGTAATTCAGCAATTAAGAGCGACTACAACTGCTTGTAACTTTTTACATGTTGGGAGCTCGTATCATCCTCACAGTGCTAATGGATTAGTACCATATCCAGATTTATTACGTTTTCTTGCCACTACTACTTTAGGAAGTTATACAACAATCTTTCCTCTATCTGTAATCAATTATTTTTTAGTTATAACGATTGTGTACCATTACTTCTCTTATATCACATTTAAATTAATAAACAAATTTTATTTTAGGTTGTTACTGAAAAAATGGATATGAACATGTATCAGAAAAATTTATTATGTTGGCAATTGTATCGAAATGACCAATGCGAAATAGAGAGTCGAGATCCAAATTCATGGCGTACAAAAAATAACTTATTTTATGGTCATGAGCCACCTCAACTTCTTAGAAAGAAACAGATAGATGATCAAGTTACTTGTACTCTTAACAGTCTTTTATGTTGTAGATTACGTGAAGGTTATTTAATAAAAAAGACAGTTATGAGGGACGGTTGTTTAGAAATATGTTTTGTCCTTCCATGGAAGACTCATGTTTATGTAGAATATCTTGTAATGTGTCCAAGATTCTTAAAGTCTCTTTCAATTTGTAATACAATGCAGTACACCATTACAATAGAGGCTCCATATGAGTTTTTACACGACATAACATGTCTATCAAAAAAACCACTAAAGTCACAATACAGACAAAATATGGTTTCTCAATTTTGGACTGTTTTAACATCATTAACAGACTGCGATAGCATGCTGGCACATTTTAGTTGGTTTCCAGGTATGGGTTGGACTTGGTACAATGTTCCAGATACCATTAGAAGTGGTATGCCAGTATTTTATTTACCCACATCTTCATCAACTTCTATTCAACTTAGGTACACTTTAGATTATTTAGTAGATAATAAAAAGCAATTTATATTATTCACAAATTTATAAATTGCAATAATACGTTTGAAAATATTCGTTGCAATAATACTGTTAAAATTAATTCTTATCTATTATGAGAAGCTACAATTTCTTAATGTTTTAACTTTGTTTTATGAAAATTTGTTCTTTATTAAAAGGTTAAATATACATTTTTTTTTATTGTTATTATTTATTGACTATTTTAATATTTACTATTTTATTTTTATTTTATTATTTATTGGCGTTTATTAACTATAAATTATATAAAGTTCTTCAGAATTAAAAATTTGAATAATTCACAAAAATTACATTCGCGAGATAAAACTGATTAAAAATTAAAAATATACAGGTTTCCAAACATTATTTAGAGAATAAAAATCAATGTATAATAAAAATCTCCAAAATAAAAATTGAAGCTCTATTGGATTTTGTACTTTAAGTTATAGACAATTATTTTTTAGGTATAAATTTCCAAAGTCTGATTCGCAATTTAAATTTTCTCAAATTTAAAACACATTAACAAATATTATATTTGAAGTAATAAATTTGTTAAATTTATGTGAAATTAAAATTATGCCTAAATATATTACTCCATGTATCACTTAATTCATTTGTATAAATATGAATTTTCAATTAATTTCATAAAAAATAATGCAAAGATGATTATCTTAAAAATTATTTTCTATGCGTGCATTTATGCAAGTTATACTGAATAATGTCATGATTCGAAAAACCAATATTCAATATTATATACAAAATCAAAAACCACACTTTGAAATCAGTTTAATTTTCTATCAAGATATTTATTAATATTAGAAGAAACATAAATGAAATATTAATTAACTACTTTATATCGATAAATAGATAACAGTTATTCGAAATTATGTATATGGCTAAAAAATGCACGTTTGTTGTACGAATTTGCTTTTCGTGCGATTAAATTAGTGTTTTATTAAAAAAAAAAAAAAAAAAAATAGTACAATCAATAGCGACTGATTTTGACATTTTTAATTTCTCATAATAAAAATTTATTTCACAAATAATATCTCTTTTTGTCTGCAATGTACAATAATTTGACAACAACGATACATTATTATAATTCTCATTTCTTTTAAGCAATCATACATTATAATACTTTATTTATAATATTCTAGTGAATATTGTTGTATAAATTATAGTCTATATGTACATATTGCATTTACGTTACTATACAATTACATTCACACGTAACTTAAACATTTATCTCTGATTGAATGAGATAAGTTTATGTTCAAATTATCAATCAAGTGTTTCTCTAACGATTTGTTATTCGATGTTATGCCATCATAAGTCCGTAGAATTTTAAATACAAATTTGAAAAACAATGTATCAAATTGAAAGCAGATTTTATTAATATATATTTCGTATTGAAGTACGTCATCTAAAACGAATGAACATAAAGCACAAAAAGAGAAATACAATATTTTTCAGCGATGCTGCGTGCCCACAATTTGGCCAAATATGGCAGCCGGTCGTCTCTCTAGAGCCCCATCAGTGGCCACGTTGGTTACACTCCCAGCGGGTAACCCTCGTCCTTCTTCACGATCGACCACTCTCGAAGCACCTGCATCAGGCAAATCAGAGCGGTCGCTTTCAGAGTGTACAGTACCGCCAGGCAGCAGCTGTCCTCTATGCCATGCTCAAGACCTGGGCGACTTTCGTCCTCGTCGAGAATCACACATACGTACAGTTCATTCACAAGGAGCCCGACAAACCGCCGATTTCCTTCTCCCTCATAAACATCAGCTGCAAGGCCCTATGCGTCGTTCTGAACGTAGCCTTCGCCGGGGGTACCGAAGGCATCGTCCGGCACAACGTCATGGCCGACCTCCTAGGACGGCTCGCCCAGCTCACTCTACCGAGTCGACGGACCGAACATAGAGAGGTGCCGTGCTGCATAATTCTTCACAAGCCCCTTGAGAAAATTCTTATTAGGTACGAGCGGATGCCTATCGACCTCAGCACCGTCATTTTTCCAGA